AAGGACTCTGAGTTCACTTGGGATATGCGGATAAACGATAACTTGGGTATAAAGGGAAAGCCGAAAGCGAGGTGGACCCCTATGGAGGCAACTCGTGTTGATCGATCGCTTGGGCAGATTCGATCGTCTATACTTGGCCAACTCGGATACCATGAAGGTGTTTCCACAGGGCTTCCGACTCACAGGGACTACACGGTGTGATATGGATGAGGTCAAGGGGAAGAAAAGATTCCCAAGCGACCATTTTGGTATACAACTTGAATTGAAAATAGAGATGAAAGAGGAGAAAATCATCGACTTGAGTGATGATAATTGAATGTTTTTATATTCACTGTGGTTGAGTTCTTCTTCATCAGTTCCGACACAACTCAATACCACAATTAGAACGATTGTTGCCAATCACATGCTAATCAGCACGAGGCAGTTGAGCTCTACACACCCCTTGTATGACAGGGTTGCTGTGATCAACTTGTCGCATAAATCAACTGTAGTAAGGCCCTCTGATCGCGGCCTCCTACCTTCCAAGAACCCTCAACGCTATGAAAGTTTCACTCCTACACCCGTCCATAACACAACAGCTATATACAATGTTAGAACCTCATCCCAAGATGATGGTATCGTCATCGATGAACTCATATCTAAAGACCAGTTGGTATCACCGCTACTACTACTACTACTACTACTCCCTTTTACGAGTCCTTACGTTGGTATCTCCATGTTTAATGGAGCCGGGCCAAGCCTAATCCTCCCAGAATGATCATAATGGCTACCATGACAAGGGCAGAAGTATCCACCATAGAGGCCTTGGTCGGGGTAAGGGACACAGCCGAGATGGGTACACACTCCGAGCATGACCAACCACTCCGGCTTCTTTACACGGTCCTTATCGCGTTCGGGGTCTCTCAAACTGTTAACGATTGCATCATCAGCAGTCGCTGCATCTATCATAGCTTGCGTACCTGCGTATGCTCAGATGTGGACATATTTTGCATCTTACATGCTTCAACCTAAGATATCCTTCTTACGTCTTCTCACAAAAACCGGTTTTCCCCTCCATTTAACAACAAAGTTCTGCCCTGGCTGAATACCCCTCAAGTCGACCTCAATGACCCCCGCAGCTATCGCATCGCGTGCTGGCCAAAGACCATGGACGACCTTAACCACCGTGCCTGAGATCTATGATATTTACCATACTAATAGGACGGATGAACTACCTCTCAAGAATGCCAAACCA